ATTTGCATGTGACTGTGTGCTAGAAACCACAGAATACTTGGGGTAGATTCCTGGAATACAAGCTGACTTAGTGATATAAGGGAGAAATTAATTTTATATTAAAACCGATGAAGTAGGTTGCAAATTTCATGTGAACTATTAGGATAAATCATGCAAAGTGTTAGTATTACAAGCCGTTTCAGACAGCTGCATACATTGTCCTATCACTGCAGTAACCTTTCTTCTGATATAGGGTTGTTGTTATTGTTAAGTTGTTAAGTGCCTCTGACTCATTCTATCTCACAGTGACCCTGTATAGGGTTTCCAAGGAGCAGCTGATGGGTTGGAACTGACAACCTTGCAGTTAGCAGTCCAATGCTTATCTTATAGTGCCAATGGGAATGTTTTAGGAGATTTTTTTTAAGATTCTGCATGAATATTAAGAGGAGGAATAAATGAATTTCAATGTAATAAGATTATTTTAATAGAAAATTGAATCAGAAATTTATAAAAACAAACCAAAACCCTCATATTGCTAAGAAATTGACTTGAAAATCCTGATAATATGTAAAGTATATAAAAATCCAAAAGGAAATTTGATAAGGAACTGTATTCTTTCAAAAAGAAGATTTTTTAGCCATGGAGAAACTGGATTGTTGTTAAGTGCCATCAAGTTGGTTCCAAAATATAGCCACCGTATATAAAGTCTCTGAGGCACTAGTGGGTTTGAACCACTGACTTTGTGGTTGGCAGTCCAATGTTTGCCCTAATATATCTGTTTGCATTCTAGAATTTCTGGTTTCCTTGTATGAAAGCTTTCCTATGAAAGGTTGTTATTGTTGTTAAGTGCCATCAAGTTGGTTTTGGCCCATAGTGACCCTATGTAGGGTTTCTGAGGGAGCTGTTAATGAATTTGAACTGTCAGCATTGTGGTTAGCAATCTAGTGCTTATCCTACAGCACCACACCAGGACTCCTGTGAACGATAGGCCTTAGTATAGTTAGTCTGACCTTCTGCACACTGATAACAGCAGTGGTGGTTTACTGATGCCTTAACTGTGTTGGGGATATTAAGATGAATGCTTTTTATTCATGGACTCACAGTGACTTTTAAAGAAAGCATTATCCCTTTTTACAAATGAGAAAACCAAGACTTGTCTGAGATATCAAGTTCAGGTGGTTCCTGAACCAGCTTTCAGTCCCACATCTTTCTGACTCTAGATCAGTGTATTTCTGGTCTGTTGCCTCAGTATAGCCAACCAATTTGTTATGGTGGATTTTTTTTTTCTTAGCCCTTATCATCTAAGGGAGGAAAGAGCTTGATAGAGATTTAGGTCAGTTGTATGGCGTGACCTAACGTCTCTAATTTCAGTCCCTAAATTTCAGTACTCTAGCCTAAAGCTTGTAGTTTTCGTTTTCAAAATTAGTAAGATGATGACATCATTGATAACTACTAGTGGTGATCTTGTGACACCTCTAAGCAAGATTTGTAAAGACGATGGAGTAATCACTGGGAACCTGCATGGACTCCTTAACAATCCTAATTGGATTCTTGGACAGATTCAGTGGATTATGTTGTTGTTGTTAAGTGCCGTCGAGTTGGTATCAACTCGTAGCAACCCTGTATAGGGTTTCCAAGGAGCAGTTGGTAAACTTGAACCACCTTGCGGTTCAAAGCAACCTTGCAGTTCAGCATATCACTGGATTATGGAATCTGTGAAATTGACATTGAGCACAGCAACTTGCAAAGTCATCTTTCTCAGTACCTCACAGAGGGAACAAGATAAATAAAATTTAAGTTTAGAATACATAGCTGGATCAATATTTAGTTGAACAACTATGCTCAATAAGTGATTGATGTCTAGCTGGAGCTATATTTCTTATGATATTTGGCATGACCCAATCCTTTACCTTGCAATAATTTTTATCAGATGTCTATATAGAGGTCTAGATTACCTAAAGTTTTCATAGGAGGAAGAGAGAATGCATATCAAATGTACCACAGTGGGAATATAAAATCATCTTAACAGCCTTCAATAGGTAGAAATATGAAGGACTACTCTCAAATTTAAGACTCAAAAACACAAGTACATATTATAAGAGGTATGATTTGAGGGTTTAAATTAATTGGAAGTAGTGTGTGGACCAAAATACATTAATCAATTTCCCTTTTTTTTTACTGAGCAGTAGTTTGTTATTAGGTGGTGTCAAGTCTGTTCTGACTCATAGCAACCTTATGAGTTGGCTTCAAAAGTTTGTGGGGAAAAAATGGGCTGAAAAGATAATGGAATTTTTTCATGAACTTTTGGAAGCCCCCCTCATTTGTACAACAGAACAAAGCACTGCCCAGTCCTGCTCCAAACTATTAAATCCGTTGTTGCAGCCACTGTGACAATCCATCACATTGAGTATCTTTGTCATTTTGCTACCCTTCTACTTTGTCATGCATGATGTCCTTCACCAGGGACTGGTCCCTCTTGATAACATATCCAAATGAGAGACAAAGTCTCACCATTTTATCTTCTAAGGAGCATTCTGGCTGTACTTCTTCCAAGACAGGTTTATTGGTTTATTTGGGGGTTTTTTTGGCAGCTCCTGGCATACTTAATATTCTTTGTCAACACCAGAATTCAAAAGTCATCAATACTTCATCATTCTTCCTGATTCATTATCCAGCTTTTACATGCATATAGTGCTGCTGATCAGCATACTTTTGTCCTCAAAGTGTTATTTTTGTTTTGTAATGCTTTAGAAAGGTCTTTGCAGCAGATTTTTCCAATGCAATATATTGTTTGATTTCTTGACTGCCACTTCTATGAACATTGTGGATCCAAGGAAAATTAAATTATTGACAGTTCCAATATTTTCCATGTTTACTATTACATTGTTTATTGGCCTAGTTATAAGAGTTTTTGTTTTCTTTATGTTAAACTATAACTAATTCACACTGAAAGCAGTAATTTAGTGAAATATAAAAACTTTACCAATATTTATGTAATACATACCTGGTATTATAATTCAAATTGCACCCATATAGAATGCTTTTGGAGTCCTGGTGTAGCACTGCAGGATAAGTACAGGGCTGCTAACCACAAGGATGGTGGCTCAAACCCTCCAGCCACTCTTCAGAAACCCTTTACAGGGTTTCTATGAGTCAGAACCAACTCACTGGCACTTAACAACAACAACAAAGTACTTTTGATCAAATTATACTAGTTGTATATTATAAATTATAAGGAGCTCTGGTAGCGTAGTGGTTACAAATCGGGCTGTGAACCACAAGGTCAGCAGTTCAAAACTACCAGTTGCTCCACGGGAGAAAGATGAGGCTTTCTGCTCCCATAAAGATTTACAGCCTTGGAAACCCTGTACAGGGTCGCTATGAGTCGGAACTGACTCCACAGCACATAACAACAACAACATATTATAAATTATGAATCAAACAAGCTCACCCAACTCTGACCCACTAATTGTCTCTCCTAAATAGTTTTTCTCATAATCATTCTTCAATAGGAAATTCTTGGAAGAGTTTTAGATAATTGTTGTTGTTGCTTTTAAGTGCCACAGAGTCAGGTCTGATTCATAGTGACCCTATCAGGTTTCCAAGGAAAGGCTGGTGAGCTTGAACCGCCGATCTTGTGGTTCACATGACCTTGCAGTCCAGTGCATTCACCCACAGCACCACACCAGGACTCCTTTTAGATAATTACTTAGCTTCAATTGTTAGATGCTGACTTTTCAGATAGAATGAACATATATTGCCGTTTGTTTGTTTCTGGAAATGTTTTCTCACACTAAAATGGAGAGTCTGAGAATCTTACTAAAGCTGAAAGTATACATTGCTTTTATAGTAAGTTAGCCATGTCATTTATGTAATAATAAAATGCAGGATAGCTCCATTTAGTAGCCAAATAGTATTAAATATTTAAAATATTGGCAACAATTACTTTGCTCATTAATAAAAAGACTTGGTACATATGTGAAATCTTTTGAAACAGACCAGCAGAATGGGGAAGAGCCCTAGACCAGGAATCAGAGTATCAAAGTACAAATCTACCACCTAATAGTTGTCCTGAACAAGTCACACTAAGTCTCAATTTCTGTATCTGTAAAATGGACATAATAATAGTACTGTACTTACTTCATAGAGTCCTGGTGTGGAGCTATAGGATAGTCACTGGATTACTAACCACAAGGTTGGTGGTTCAAGTCTCCTGACTTCAAATCCTGTGTACATTCTATTGTGTAACTGTCACGTGATGTGAGAAGAATACTAGAATAAAGTTGAACCTGGTGTGGTGCTGTAAGATAACAACTGGATCACAGGGTCAATTTGAACTGCAAAGTCAGTGCTTCTAACTCACTAGCCGCTCCTTGAAAACCCTATACAGGTTCCATGTGAGTTGGAATCATCTCGACAGCACTTAACAACAACATTTAGCCAAAGTATAAAAAAATCCAAATGACCTTTAAGAAAGGACCAAATAAAAAGAAGGCAAATAGAGGGATAGCACAGAACAGAAAAAATAGAATGCCCTGGCCTTTCCTATCTATACAAATGGAGAATAACCCACTGTCAGCAAGTTCCATTCTCTTCTAGGACAGAAGAGACGTACTCCATAGAGTTTTCAGGTCTATAGATCTTTACAGGAATAGACAGCCTCACCTTTCTCCCCTGGAATGGCTGGTGGGTTTGAATCTCCCATCTTGAAGTTAGCAATAGAGAATTGTTGTTTGTCCTAAAGCACCACACCAGGAGTCCTTAAATAGAAAACACTGTTCTAGCTGCTGTGGAATAAAGGGAGGAGAGAACTTTTAAAATACTTTAGGTATTTTTATAGTTTTCACTTTAAATATAATTATTATCTAATTTGACACATTAAAAATAGGAATTTTTCCCCTTGTATATAAGCGTATACGATTGCAAGTATATAAGATTTGAACAATTGCATTTTACCACAGTGATATATTTCTGAATTATGTACTATCATTTTGTGACTCACCTTTATGTTCTTCACACAGAATGCTGAAATCTCTGTTTTTGAAGTAAATATACGCTTCGTTGGTGGACTGCTCTCAGCCTACTATCTGTCCGGAGAAGAGGTAAGATGAAAAGTGAATTATCAAGATTTATTTATAAATTATAAATATAAAATTATATAAAAATATAAGTTAAATTTATTTTAACTATAAAGATCAATGTGAATTATGAAGTATCTTTAAATTGCATTATTTCTAAACTATGCCTTGTAGTACACATTTGGGGGGAATTCAGTAAATATTCATATTTTGATTGGCCAATAGTTTATACTGGATTTCTGGTACAAATTCAATATGCAAGCTAGGGAAGTTTACCAGAGCATGATGTCAGGGAATGTTAAGTAATGCCTTTTAGAAATGCCTGCTCAATTATGGATGATGCAGTTATGACTACAAATTACATATCCTATGGACAAATTAGGTTGATTTCTGTAGTGACAAGCTTGTGGGTGAATTTTGTTTCTGTAAAATTATTTTAATGTTGTTATAATGTTTGCTTAATTTAAAAAAAAAAGCCTTTTTTAAGATGAATAAAGCATGGCAAGAAAAATACAAAAATTATAGTATTTAAAACTTGAGGCGGTGAGTGAGACACTGATTTCTGGGAGTGCCCCTTTATCAAGTGCTTTGGAGCTCTTCTTGAGCCACGGCTTAATTAATGATCTGCTGCTTGGTGCAAAGCAGGAATTTTTCATTAACTGTATTTTACTGACAGATTTAAGAAAGGGTGTTTTGTATTGTGCTCATAAAGAGCACTGGTGCTATTGTCTTGAAAGGTTTTCGACAACTTATGAGTAACATAAATGAATGTCTACCAAGTGTTGGAGTGGACCTCACCTTGAGTGTTTACAGTGTTTAAAGCTGACATTGAGGAGACAGTTATATATTTCAATAGCATGTCACTAAGGTTTGTGTTAACCTCAGCATTCTGGCTAGGGGAAGAGTGAGTCTTTCCCAGTGCAATATTTCATATATGTCTATGCTCCTTCAAACAGATTTAAACAGAACAATTAATATTTAATGAGAAAAACAGCTTGACTTTATTCCTGTCCCTCAGGTAGTTCCTTAGTGATAACAAAATTGCCCTCATGGTCTTTCTCTCTCTTTAGATTTTAATCTACCATAGATCCTTTCAAAGTACACAAATGACTTCTGTATTCCCTTACATCTGTCCAGTTTAAGTGTTAGATTCTATTCCTCATTATGAACTCTTTCACTTTCACTGTCAGGATAATGAGACCCTTAGGTACATTACACCTCTTCTTCCCTGTTTCTGGTCCCAAGTAACTGCATTTGTTCAGTTTTCTTTAGGTATTCTAACATCTAAATCAAAGAATCCACACTTTTTAAAAGTCATACTTAATTAAGGTTATTTTAGTTATGTCTCTGCTTTTAGAATCCTTATCTTTGAGTATACAATGCCAGGTGGCATACTTGGGATGACATTAATTTTAATTTGATCTGTAATTTATGTGGAGGCAAGGAATTGGAAGGAAATAATGACTACATACTTCTAATGTGAAAACTGATAGTATTATTCTCAAGAAACAAATATTTGTTCCTAAATGTACATTTATTTATTGAGAAAGCCCTTTTATTCATACCAGTGTTTTAAAGGGCTTCAAAAAGTTCATTTAAGAATTGCATTTAAAAGATCATGGAATTTTTCTACAAACTTTTTGGAGCCCCCTCATATGTTGGAGTCCTCGTGTGGTACTGTGGGTTAATGCGCCATACTGCAAAGTCGTTTGAAATGCAAGGTCAGCTGTTCAAGCTCACCAGCTACTCCCTGGAAATCCTATACAGGGTCACTAAGGGTCAAAATCGACTGGACTGCACTTAGCAACAATAACAACATATGTGTGTATATGTGATTTACATACACACATAGATAAAACAATTTTTCAAAGAACTTCTATTTGTTTATTTGCTAACTTTAATAAATAAAGTAATACAAAGAACATCTCCATTGCAAATAATAGCTATTTTTTTAGTATAGTTAGTATGTTAGTTATTCTTATCACTGTTCATACATTATCTTTATTTTACCTAGATTTTCTATTTTTATCTAATTTTGTGATAAAATGTGTTTGATATATTTCCTTTCTTATGTACTCTATGTTTCCATAGAAAAAAAATGTAAATATAGTTCATAAGGTTTATCTTCTTAACCCATTTTCTTCTCAGCCATTCTCTAAATGTTAGACAATCAGATTGTTTCTAGTTTTCTCATATGTTGAAGCTTTAATCAGTCAATAAATATTTTTCTCTGAGGTATAATTACCAGGTTAAAAATGTTAGCATATTGTTTTAACATCATCTGCTGCCTCTCGCTCCCAGTTACCTAGTCACTGACAATTGCTTTTCATTTTGCCAATGAAGTCAGAGGAATTGCTATCAGGAAAATGATCAGGAAAAATGACTTTACCCCAGGTCTGTGCTTGAGCCATTTGTCTCCATATCAGAATGAAAAATTGAGCATTCGCTTAATAGGAAAAGCACCAACATGACCAAACTATAAATAAGTTGGTTTCAGATATTGATAATGTTCTATGTAAGCATGCCTTGGAGATTTTGCAGGTTTGGTTACAGACCACCACAATAAAGTAAGTCACATGATTTTTTTGGTGTCCCAATGCGAACAAAATCTATGTTGACACTATACTGTGTGCAATAGCATTATGAAAAAGTTTTGAGATGTGAGAACTACCAAAATATGACACAGAGACCCAAAGTGAGTATTTCTGCTGGTAAAATGGCGCCAATAGACTTGCTCGACACAGGGTTGCAACAAACTTTCCTTGTATAAAAATATATATATAATATCTGTGAATGCAATAAAGTAAAGAGCAATAAAATAAGCTATGTCTATGGCCACATACTTTTATGTAGATCAAGGAATTTCATAAGGAGTATAGGAAATTTTATCTTCTAAATTATCTCATGAACCACCGTAATTTAACATTCTGATTTCATCACTGAGGTTCAGGACTATTTTTGAAAGTATCTTATAAATCATCATCAGAAGGTTATAGGTCCACATTGATGTAAACTTAAAATACTTAAATTAGTATTGCAGAAACAGTAGAAAACTTATCACTGATGTGTAGCAGGTGTCAGGAAAGTAATAATTATAAACTATCAAAAGAACAATGAACCAGAAAAAAACCACAAAACATAAAAACACACTCAATCTGTTTAAGTCTCTTCTGACTCATAGTGATCATAATAGGGTAATACCTGTAATAAACTAGACTTAAAATGTATGCTTTGATTATAGGTCCATGTTAAAAAATTTAAACCATGTAGCTCAGTTAAAAATTTTTGTACTTCCATAATAAAATAAATAAGTAAAAATCAAGTCTGAAGATTTTAAAAGTATATATTAGAAATTCATTTTACAAAGGAACTGCAGATAAAATGGGAAAAGATTAATATCAAGTAGTAATGAACAGTATTCAAAATAATAATAATAATAATAATAAAAGAGAGATAGCAGTAAGTTTAGAAAAAGCTGTCTCATAAATTCTGTCTGTACTAGAAACCCACAGTACGAAGGGAAAGAATCTAATTTTGTGTACCCCTGTAATTTTCAAATTTAATTAACTATAATGCCCCTCTTCTTTTTTCATATAACATACGTTAACCCTGAAGTATAATTATTGTTTCTTAGAACAAACTTTGGAAACTGCCATTTTATAATAGAAGTAACTAAAAGAAAACTGATACTAAACATTGACAAATGTAAAACAGAAATGGTGGTATAATTACAAGACATGCAAGAGAATATGACACAGGAAAGAGCATTTGTACATGTTAAAAAAAAAATGAAAATGTCTGTTGTAACTCATGGTTATTCCATGTGTGTCAGAGTAGAACTGTGCTCCATAGGATTTTTATGGCTAAGAACTTTCAGAAGCAGAAGGCTTGTCTTCTAAAGTGACTCTGGATGGGCTTCAATTGCCAAACTTTCAGTTCGTAGCCAAGTGTTTAACTATTTATGCCATGCAGGCCCATGTGCATATATCATGTAAACGTATGTATTTTTACAATAGAAACCCATGGCTATATTGAGCAGAAAGTGAATTTAATAGGACATGGTAGTGGTACCTCAATCTCTGAGGAAAGGTTGAAGAAGAACTTGAAACAATTTCAAGTTGCCATAAAGGATGCCTCTAGCACTACTGTCACCCAGAGGTGTCCTGGAACTATGGACTTTTTACCCTTGTCTTATTCTTCTCAAGATACAAACACTCAGGAGAAAGGGGTCAATTGGCAGAATTTGGTCAAGAAGCCCCTTAGAGAATGAAGGAGAGGATATGAAGAAGTCTTCAGAGGCTCTGTAGCCACTATCCCAGATAGTGAGTATGTGGAAGCATAGATAATTCCGGAACAGGAAATTGAGGCCTGTTAGAAGGGTAGAGGCAGTAGATGGTTGGCAGCCCTCCACCCCCAAAAATAATCTATTATATTTCTTTCTGAATAGAATGTTAAGAGAAAATATACAAGTTGAAGGCAAACTTATAATTTAATGAAATTCTTGAAGAAAAACAAAGCAAAACCTACCTGATTTGAAAAACTTTATTCTGTAAATTAAGAAAGACTATTAGATGCACCAGAGTATTTAGATTCTACAAGGAAACCTTCTGATTAGTTCATGCTAAGTCTGCAAAGTAGACAAACCAGAAAGAAGCCAACTACAGGAAACTTTAAGTGAAAAAGGTTAAGGTCTTCTTAGCCAAGATTATGAAGATTTGTAAAAGAGCTCATAAACTTTGTATTCTTAGACTAGATCACTTCACTGGACCAAAGTATCTTTCATTTTGAAGGTAGCAAAAGAAATTCCAGACACCAAAGCTTGCTATGGGAACAAAATGGCTAATATCAGCAGCACAATGGTGGAAAAACAATGAAAACACAACATGAGACTATCTGATTTAAAAAGGAGAAGGGAGAGTTGGATTAAACATAAGATTATCAAGGGGAAAATGTGTGTTGCCGGGAGCCGGGGGAGATGAGATTGGTGAGTGGGTGACAGAAAGAAAAAATGGAGAATATGAGTT